GAGAATTGTGAAGCTGAAGTTCGGGTGCTGGGGCCGCTTGTTCGCCGCGGCCACGGTGAAGGGAAACTTGCGGCCGCAGAAAGAGAAAAATCTAGGCGTCGGAAACAGCGAAGCAGGGGCCGCGACTTGGTGCCTTGCCGCAGCGCGAGAACAGCAGTTGTGGCGCGCCGTGGAAGAAGTGCAGCGCCGTGGTGGAGTGGTTGTTGTCGCGAAGAGGAGTCTGTGCGGCGGAGCGACACTAGCAGCACAGCGCAGAGGTCCCATGCTTCACGGCGCGGAGGTTGAATCACGACGCGGTGCTGGTGTTCTAGGTGAGGACGTCGCGGTGTGGAGAAGGCTCGCCGTGCGGTGGAAGCATCTATCGCGGCGCGGGAGTCCTGCAGTGCCGCAGCATGGGGGCTGTTCACATTCGAAGGCCTGGGCTAGCCTGTGACTACTTATCCGACTTTGCTTTTCGGGTTCGTGCGAGCTCATTTGGAAACAGAATTTAATTCCTTTTTTGTCTTTGTATTGCCAACGAGACGCTCTATTTAATGATGTTCGTCCGGTCCACTGACCATGAGAAATAAATCCTCTCGTATCTTCCAACCTGCACACCAAAGACGAAGAAAGACCGAAAAAATACGCGAAAAACACAAAGAAAACCGAAATAGAGCAAAACACATGATGGACTATAAAAATGAATAAAAACTAACGAAAAGACCTAAAACGGGGGAAAAGAAAAGACAAAACAATAAAGAAAAACGCAACAAAAATGGACAAACATCCCCAACATGAAACTGGTAAGTTGAAATTTTGTAAAAATGGTCTAGCAATTAATTTGATACGGTTAATTAGTGATTCAGCTAGACCATTTTGTGTGTGAACATAAGGTACTGGATGCTCCACTTTGATGCCTATTTTACACACAATAATCATCAAAAGCTTTCGATGTGAATTCGCCGGCATTATCCGTTCTAATAATTTTAATTGGATAATCAGGAAATTGAGCTCTTAATTCAATAATTTTAGCAAGTAGTTTTGGAAAAGCCTGATTTCTAGTGGATAATAAACACACATATGACCATCGATTGGAAGCATCTATCAATACCATAAAATATCAAAACGGTCCAGATGTGGGATGAATTAGTCCACATATATCACCCTGAATCCTATGAAGAAACATAGGAGATTCAATCCCAACTTTTGTACGTGAAGGTCTTAATATCAATTTTCCCTTTGCACAAGCATCGCAAATAAATTCACTAAAAGAAGGGAGACGGTTGCTTGATATGTTATGCCCAATAGAGTTAGAAATAATCTGACGCATCATACTTAGCCTAGGATGACCCAATCGCTCATGCCATAATTTAAATGAATTTGGGTCTTTAAATTTAAAGCTCATTGCAACATGATTAACAGAAGGTTGAATGTAGTATAATAGAAGCCTGAGGAGAAAGAGAGAAGTTCTTCTACAATTTTGTTTTGACTGCCTTGTGATTGAGTCATAAGAAGGTATTCTTTATTATTTTCAGTCTTAGTTTCAAGATGAAAACTATTTGATCGAATATCTTTAAAACTAATGAGTGTTCTTTGTGATTCAGGGTACAAAAGCGCATCGTTAATTATTATTCGGTACCTTTAGGATGAGTAAGTATAGCTTTGCCGGAGCCTACTATCAATATTTTATCATGAGCAATTGTAGTAACACTCCCTTTCTTTTCATTTAAGGTTTGGAAAAACTTTCTATCTTTCAAAATAGTGTACGTAGTAGCACTATCGACCAGGCATAAAATACTTTATTTCTCCGTAACTTGCATATTATTGAATGTCTATGGCACACTAAAAGAAAAGTAAAATATCATAAGCAAACATAACAATAATAAAGTCCCAATTAAAACATAACATATGAAAACATACAAGAACAATTTCATAATTGTCAAATAGCATGAAACCAAACGTGAAATATAATTATTCAGTACTAAGACAGAATGCATATGTAATCACACATTATCACCATAGTTCTCGAGCTCAAGCTTTAATAAATCATCATCATCATTTATTGCTAAATTTGCTTCAGGCAAACTAGCGTGATGTGATTCACCTTGAGTAGCTTTTCCTTTCTTATCTTTGACTGATCTTTGATAGGCCTCGACTGGGTGCCGAGTAGTACGACATGTACTGGACTAGTGACCATTGTATCCACATCTATAGCAAACTTTCTTATCTTGATTAGATTGTGGAGCATTTATGTTAAGATTTTCTTTTTGGCTTGTCTGTTCCTCAACACCATTACCTCGTCCTACACCTCGAGTCCAAACATGATTACGTCCTCAACCGCGTCCGTGACCAGGACCACGACCATGACCACAACCACCACGGGATGGTTCGTCATGATATCCTCGACCTCTTCCTCGCATATTATTAATATGCTCGTGGGTAGTCGCATGTGCTTCAGGCACTGCTTGAGTTCCAACTGGCCTATTATTATGATTTTTCATCAATAGTTGATTGTGTTTTCGGCCACTAACAAAGCAGAAATTAGCTCAGAATGTGTTGCATAGTTTTTAGCCCTATACTGCTGGAGGAGTACAAGTTTATTAGCATGAAAATTAGATAAAGTCTTCTCAACCAACTCAAACTCAGTAATGTTTTGCTTACAGAGTTTAAGCTGTGAGACAATACGATAAAGGGCCGAATTATATTCAGTAACAGATTTAAAATTCTGAAAACGGAGATTAAGCCAATAAAATTGTGCTCGAGGGAGGATTATAGCCATTTGTTGGTCAAAGCAATCCTTCAGGGATTTCCAAGATCTGCGGGATCTTTTTCTGTGAGGTATTCATTTTTCAAATCTCTATTTAGATGGTCACGAAGAAAAAACAGTGCATTCACCTTCTGGGCGGGAGTGCTATTAGATGTAGAATCTATAGTGGCACTTAAATCAAACGAGGCCAGATGAATCTCAACATCAAGGGCCCAAGTTAAATAATTACTCCCATCAAAAGCGAGCTCAGTAAATTCTCTTTTGGTGATATCAGACATTGTGAAATTCTAGAATTTCAAGATATGCGAAAAATATGTGATATTTATGATTAAGAGAAAAAGTACCTTGAAGAATAATTGCAATAAAATATCGATTCGTAATATTATGATTTATGATACAGAAGATCGTCTATAAGACGCAACTGTAGAGCATACTCTCTTCGTATTACAAATCAAGCTCTAGAAGGCAGAAACTCGTGATGATAACGTGTTATAAAACTAGAGAGATAAATAGAGAGAATAGAGAGAAGATATTATCTTGGTGTATATTCATTACAAATGAAGTTCCTATTTATAGGAAAACTTCTGATGACATAATCGCAATAATACAATTACATCAAGAGTAAAATAGTTACTCACATATATTATTTTATTATTTTCTCAACAAATAACAATAATTCATACTACCTCCTATTCATTTTAAATGTCATTTTGGCATTATCAACTATTAACAAAATAAATGTCGTTTTGGATATTTTGTACATATTTTTCCATTATTACCCTCATCTATCTAATAAATACACTACGTCTTTTCATATTCACTCTTAATCTTTTCTCAAAACATTCATCTCTATCCTCATTAATGATGGTTATTATTGACAAAAAAAAATATTCTTAATAATTGTGTTCTCAAAACGACATTTATTATGAATAGGAGGGAGTAACTACTATCAATAATTCTTAACCACTATTAATAATTCATATCTAATCTTAGTAAATAAATATTTTATAATACTAATTAAATAAAAAGCAGAAATTCTATGGAGCCCTCAGATTGTTTTCTTATGGAGTCATCCACCATTTAATGTATTGACACCTGTCCAAAGTATATTTATTGCAGGACACATGTCAATACACCATTTGTGAATAACTATAGATGACTCCATAAGCCGAGTCATCCGATGACTCCATAGCAAAACTGAATAAAAAGTATGTAATATAGGTACTGAATAAATAGATTGCAAACTTTAGGTACCAAATCGGCAACATAAGTATAATTGAGGTACTAAAAAATCAATATCCCCTTCCAAAAAAAATCCAAGTTTTGTATTAAAAGTACATGTATCAAAATACCGGATGCTAATTTACACAAACTGGAGCTAAGAAACAATCAGAGTCTAGAGTCAAAAGAATACATAAAGCAGCACTAAGCGTCATCCTAATGTACAATAACAAAAACGCGTGTGCATCTCTCCTAAGCATTCTCATCCAGTGTCTGAATAAAACCAGTTGAATTTAGACGAACAGTCATAAATATACCAAGCCTACGCATAACGTTCGCAGCAATTCTCATTCTAAGAGCGTCCACAGCAAGCAAGACCACATTCTCTCGTCCTGACTTATAGTTTCGATTCCTGCACTTGCAAGCCAGCATGTCACAGTTTAATTTCAAAGACAAAAACGAAAAATATAATGATGAAAGAGCAGAATAATTTTGTAGCAGCAGAATAGACATCTGGTTCGATAAGTTAAGGGCCCAGACAATGAATATTCTTTTACTCCATTTATTGTAATAATTTCATAACAAAGCATACAGCAGGAAGAAATGTGGCAGAAATACGAGGAACAGAATGGAAAAATTGGCCGACTCCCTAGGCCTATCATTTAAAGAATATCTCACATGGCAAACAGACCAAATATGTAAACTCCCAAATCACAAGAATAGAATACCAAATTGGTCATATTTACTAGGTAAGATGAAGCGAAATCAAGGGAGGGTGATAAGAACTACGATACTTGTGGAAACAGAAATAAGGCATCATCAAATTTAGTACATTGGAAAACAAGAATGAGGTGTTTGCTAAGTCATATTCCCTAGAAACTCAATTTCGATCCCATCCAACGCATCCACTTAATCATTTAACCTGAGTTACTTTATATTTCCAATTACATAGTCATTTGTTCTGGTATCACTTAATCCCAACAGAAGCTCTCAAAACATTAGTAGTTCTTACTGAAACATGATTTGACTCACCCTAACGAGATCGAGAACGCATGAATTCTTCAAGTTTGTCCCAAACCTCAAGAGCCGCAGCTCGGTCCTGATGCCTCTTATTTTTGCTTATCTGAATATCAAATTGCACATATTTCAGAAGAGATAATATATTGATCTCAAATCGCACATGTTTCAGGAAAGATAAGAGTTGATTGCACGCAAATTGTGAGCAATTGACATTGCATTCTTGAACAACAAATATCAGAAACTGACCGAAATTATCTTCACATTCCATTGCTTCACAGTTTTTGCTGATTCCACACTGTCGTCCTCAAAACGCATGTAAAACCCAAGAACTGAAGTAAATACCAAACCACGTGTTAGTAATTAGGTGTGATCAACACCTCAAGTACAAATATAATCACCAACAGTCTCATGTCCAGCACTTAGTTGCGTAGAGTTTGCCATATCACATCTTAACACTGTTCTCCATCATCAAAAAACATAAAAGGGTGGAACAAATAAATGATGCATAAGATAGAGGGATAAGATCTAGCAATCCAGCGATCAATTGAATTACATACAAGATCCATAAAATTGAAATCTTTTCCCACACATCATATGTAAAGCCTCAATGATGTAAGGGTAAAGGATTTCATAAGAAACGGACAAGTTACACACACATGTAAGTAAAGTGACTTAACAAAATTTGTTGAGGCAAGTAATTAACCATAAACCATTGCGCATAATCAACATTGTTCATAAAATTGAAGTATGTAGCTATTCAGCATAATATCCCTCCAACCAAGAATCATGTAACACCAAATGCAAGCAATGCATCCATGCATGATGTTATAAATTTCAACTAAGAATATAGACAAACAAAATATAAATAAATAAATTAAAAGCATACTCTTGTTAAAGATCTCGACGTGGTCCTTGAAAGGCCACTCTTTGAATTGCCACTCCTTTCCGAGCACGAAAACCGCCACCACACGATCCCAATCGTCACTTTTCAGTGCCGACGGCTTATCCCTCACCTCATAAGCTGTTACCACACGATCCCTACTGAACTTCTTCTGCACAGTCACGCAATCGGGCTTTCCTCCTTTCATCTGCTTCAGCTTCACATCCGTGGGGATAAAAACCCCATCCTCCAGAAACTCCTTCACATTGTATATCGTGATCAGAGTTGAAAATGCGCTTGGGACCAGGATGATGGGCACACCTTCCCCAATTTTCCTCATTTTGGTGGCTTCCTCACCCAACCCAAACCCTCGACTCTCAATTCTGTTCTTCGCAACAATATTGTCTTTCCTCTGCAAGGCCTCCATTCTCTGCCTCTCCTCGTCACGTTTGGTGGCTGACGTCAGCACACTGTAAAAATCGCGCTTGCTAAAAACCAGCATCGACTCCCTGTCTTTAATCGGCTTTTCCTTTGCCCTAATTAGTTCGATTGGGTTAGTGGCCGCGCTCTCGGGGACCCCAGCGGCATCACCCGCATCGTGCGTCGGATTCGGGCCTAGGTTACCGATTTGGGGGTTGATGTTGGGGAAGTCCAGGGGGACTATGGCATCGGAAGACTGGACCTTTCCGGTGAGGTAGTCGAGCAGGGGCTTCCGGTCGGGGAGGGTGACGGCGGGGATGCGGAGAGCGCGAGCGTTCTGGATGTAGTCGGTGTGCTTGAGGTGGTGGTTGGTGACGAAGTGGACGAGGGTCTCGAGGGTGTAGCGGCGCGTGTTCTGCGCGTGCTTGGAGCGGTAGGCGGTCTCGATGGTGGCGGGGAATGAGTAATCCGAGCCGAACCGAAATTCATTGTTGACACGGACGATCCGGTCAAGGGAGTTTCGGATGGTGTACTCGCGGAGAAGGGTTAAGGGGTCCATCGGGGCCGGGGACGGCACCTCGGCGGCGGAATGGACGAAGTCGTCGGAGACGAAGGCGGTGTAAATATTTGAGTGAGAGGTTTTGAAGTCTGTGTCTGAACTCGGAACTCTGTTTTGGTGATTCAAGGTTGCGTTAAAATCTTCAAACTTATAATAAGAGATGAGATTGGATTCCCAATCCTAATAGCCATAGGTCATTTGCATTTCCCTGCTTAAAAATAAATAAATAAATAAATAAATAAAATTAAAATTATTAAATTAGTACTTTTTTTTATTTAAATTAGTACTCTAGTTTTGTCGATTCGAGTATCCAAAAATTAGTCAATCATCTATTTATGACTTTAAGTTACCTTTGACCAAAGTAAATTAAAAAATTTAAAATTAGCAATTTAAAATTATAAATATTAAATTATAATTTATATTTTTATATATATATTTATATATAGGACCAATTCTTATTGCCATATATGACATGATTTTGGGCACGAAGTTTTTCGTCTATATTTGACATTTAATTAATATTTATTTATTAGCAAATTTTATGCATAATAAACATAATTAATCTTTATACACTTAATGATTATTACTCAGTAACTACAAAATGGATTAAATTTAAACTTTTGACCATATTTTATTAAATATATTTTCAATAAGATTTTATATTAATTTAATAGTAATTTATTGACACAATTAAAAAAATAATTATGGAAATTGTTTTGGTTAAATATATTATCATCTATGGTTGTAGGAATTAATTTAATTAATTATATTCACTATTCAGAAGTAACTAAAATAATTAACAAAATAATAAAAATAACTATGTTTAAATCATACTAACTTAATAAAAAATTTAAAATATTAATAAAAGTTTATGAAATGTAGTCAATTCAGCTATAAAAAAGGTACATTCCCATTGAATACATTATATGTAGTGATAATACTATTAAAAATTTAAATAATATACTAATAAAAATAAAATTTGATGGTCGGGTGCAATCCAAAATTATAAATTTCACCTTAGAAATATCTATGTTAATTAAAAAACTATTCGATTTTTATAAATATATACA